CTTCTACAGTTGCCTGTAGCGAAGATTGCTGTTTGTCATTTGATATAATTCCTCCCTGAAAATGAGCTATTTCCATGGGACAAACATTTTTGTTTGTATGACTGTTTGAAGGAGATAATTCACTTTCAGTCTGAGAACATTCTTCAGTCTCTGGATCTAATATTTGGTCATTTATCATTGTTGAACAACCAATAGGTACTGCCATAAATATGCTATCATCTTCTGAAATACTTGAAATAGAAGCAGATGGATTTTTACAAGCAACAGAATGAGATAGATTTAAAGTATTAGGTCTTTTATTACTTCCAGCTAGTACAATGCTACTCCTATAGCTTCTGTCTTTTGATAGTGATGAACACAATATTGGAGAATTACTATTTCCATTTACATTATTGTTACACATGTTTGTATCATTTAAGTGTCTGCTTCCATTGAACAATCGTCTTCTCTTCAATTTATGTTGCTTTCTCAGGTCCTTGATATCTTTATTGTTACACATATCTTTTGGTGTACTACCAATGAATTGGTTTATACTGTTTTGTGTATCTTTATGTTCAATTCTATCAGAAATATTCGATATTGTGGATACTTTACTATTGGCAGCATTATACATACAATCATTATTAGAGATTGAAAACTTAGACTCTAAAATTATACGTGTCTTAACAGAAAGCTCATTTTGTATGTCAAATACTTGCTTAGTCTTGGTTAAAATAGCTTCCTTCAATCTTTCGCAATCTCTATTTAAAATTTCGTCGTTGGCACTCATGTTCTCTAGAAGTATAGATCTTTGTTTACTCTTAGAATGTCCATATTTACCACCCTTTGAAGTTGTAGGTGTATTATCATTGTATCCAGCATCTATTTGTCTCAATGATCCATTGCCAGAGTCTACCAAATTTGAGCAACAACTTAAATTGACTGCCAACGAGCTACGTTGACATTTTAAGCTATCACATTCATCAGACATATTTTCCGCCAGTGTCTTTACTTTATTTGGACTGAATTTTTATTATACGTTGTTTGTTTCAGATCATAATCCAAACGGTGTAAATCTTCTTAAACATCACTTTAATAGTCAATACCACACACGATACAATTTATAACTGTACATATTGTAGACACTATTGTATACAAACTTCGACTGTTATAATTTCTTATAGAACTATTGTAATTACAATGTTAATAAATAATTATACGCGATACGAACATTGTAGCGTTATTGTAATCATATATGATGTATGATTGTAATTAACAACACGTTTGAACATGTTCGACATGTTTGAATCCATGCTTTTGAAGTTATCTGTTACAGCGTACTCGCATGATGACGACCTTAACGGTAAATAATTAACTAGAATAATTAATCAGCTTATGAATTTCTTGATGGAATATTAACATTTTTAATAATTTAACCATTTGCGGTCCAAATTTATTGATTTTAATGTATTAGTCGAGCTTCACTCGACATGCGACCGCAAAGGGTTAAAGCATCTTATTGGACTCCTAATATCTCATTTGCCTTATAATAAACTTAAAATAAAATTAAATAGTAGTGATAAAATGGTCAGCGTATCTGTGATTATGTTAAATTTATCATTTATTTAAATATTTTATTTAATACTGGTTTTGTTACCAGTGGCGCCATCGATGGCAAAACGCCCAAGTTTGTAATGAAAATAGTTTCTGTTGTTACTACTAGATGATGTCACTAACTAAAGGGTCGATAATTATTTCTGGATTAAATAACTATTCATAACAACGAACAATTAACATATCAACTAATACACTGTAGTGTTATACAGCAAAGAATCGTATTAATTATGCATTTATGATAAATAAAAAAATCGATTTAAAGTAATCGATGGCGCCATCATACAGAACCAGTGTCAACTATTTTCGTTACAAACTTGGGCATTTTGCCACCGATGGCGCCACTAGTATAAAACAAGTCACCTAACTAGTGTATTGTACTAATGCAATAACGCACTGCAAATAGAAGAAAAGCTCAACTCTACTAGTGTCACTTGGAGTTTGAGAGAATTTTTGTAAAATATTAAATAATCAGTAGGAAATTAACGGTGAGATATGGCAACTGCCAGTCAAGATGCCGACGATGATTATTACTTGGAACTGTCTTCTGATCCAATTAAATTTGAATCGGTCAGCTGTCTTACTAATGTTTTCTTTGACGACTCGAAACAACAGGTTAGGATGTTAGATGTTTACTTACTTGCGTTTTACATAAAGCTCAATTATCAGAAAGAAACAATAACGAACTGTTCGCATTCAGGTGTTTGCCGTTCGATCGGGAGGTGTTGCAGGCGTATTAGTTAAAGGACCTAATCAAAGTATAAATTTTCGAATGGAAGACAAGGGTCCAGTTATTTCCATTAAGTTTTCTCCTGATATGAATATACTCGCTATACAACGCTCAAACACTTCTGTCGAATTTGTCAACTATTCTCCTACCATTGGATTAGACAATATAGAATATTCACAGCCATGTAAAGGAAAGAATGCCACTATTTTGGGATTTGTTTGGACACATGGAAATGAAATATTGCTTGTCACTGATTATGGAGTTGAATTGTTTCAAGTAAGAGCATAAACCATTATTTTTAAGACTTATATTGCTTGGTAAACATACACATATAAGTATTTTTTGTTGTATTAGGTGAATCCTGAGAAACGAAGTGTTAGAGCTATAAAATGTTTAAGTTTAGGTGTAAATTGGTTTGTTTATTGTCCACAAAGTCAGTTAGTATTGTTATCATCTGGTACAGCAGGAAATCAAATGCAGGCATTACATGTAACATTGGGGAATCTCCATAAGTTAACAAAATTTGAAAGTAAGACGTTCACAAGTTTAGCTTAATCAGTTATTAGCAATTGCCAATGTGCCGGAAAAGTATACACTGCCCCATGATGAAATTGCTTTAGTGGAGCCTAGTACAACGAAACCAGGCAAACCAGCAGTTTCGGAAAGAGATGTAGCTCTGGCAGTCCTATATGGAACACCCTGTATTATTTTGTTGCGCCATCAGCCAGGTGCTAATCGTTCGACGGGCGCTGCTTCTGTATACGTATACACTGTTCATAAGTACGTGTTAAAAGCCATTTTAATTTTTAGGTTTTATCCTAGAATTAAAATGAGTTTTACTAACTTTATACAAGCAAGTTTTCTTTAATATCTGTGTGTACTTGCATTTCATGTATCATTCATATAGGATGACAACAATTAAAAGAAGTCACGTTTTGAAGCTCGACGTCAGTGGTCGATTTGCTATCAACGTTGTAGATAATCTTATTATTGTTCATCATCAAGCTTCAAAAGTGAGTTTAGAAACTATAGAATCGCTAATATGAATTGTCCGCTGTATGAAACTAAATAATCTTTTAGACTTCAATGATTTTCGATATCATGTTATCGGGCGTGAGCGACGGCACTGTAATGCATCATACTAGCGTGGCACCGGCGAAATCGATAAAACCGTACAATCTAAAAGTTCCAGGCACAACTTTATCGGAACAAACGTATCAGCCTTGCCAATTGTGTATCCTTGCAAAAATGATCAGTTAACATTTTCTGTTCGTAATACACGTTTTTCCTCAATGTTCAACAGATTCACCAAATTGGGTGGTTTTTCAGCCAAACATAGTCATAGATGTCAAATTGGGTTGCCTATGGTAGGTAGGTCTATTAAATTCCGATTGTTCCAATCTAGTAGTTCGCGACATCGTAAGGTACTTTAATCTAAAGAGAGGAAAACAGAAACTGAAGAGTGCAGAAACACAGGAAACTTACTCGATTACGTTTATCGATCAGGTACGTTGAACTGCAGTTGGATGTATTGGTGAAGCTTATCACGGACAAAGTGTTGCTGGTCGAATTTTTAATGCAACGGTCGAACGCGAAGCAAGCTTTAATACAGGTGTTGCAAAATTTCATGATGCAATTACCTGTTAGTTTAATGGATATGCCAACTGTATTCGACAAGTTGAATTCCGTGTACAGGAATTACTTGGAAAGCGAAATACAAAGTCAGGTGACGTGTCTTTTTGTACGTTTGTTGAACTTTGTTCCTTTTGTATCAACGTTCACTTTGTTTCGACTAGATGGGCACTCCTTTACAAAGTAACGTGAAAAACATTGGCACTGTAGTAGAAAATTATAAGTACAAGCTCTTGCTTGATCAAAGCGACACGTACAGTTATATATTGTCAAAGTTTCCCGAAGATACAATCGAACCGAAAATGATCATATGGGTTCTCCTCGAATACATCAGGTGTTTGTCTAATCGATAAAACATAAAATGAGAGAAGAAAATTAAAAACATCTTTCGGTTCGACGTTTGTTTTAGATCGTTGGCAGAACATGGAATACCCGTGCAGCATTATTTACACGAGTTAATTATCACAACGTTGGTACAACGCAAAGCGTACTATCAGCTTCATCAGTTGCTACAATATCACGTGGTTGCTGATTCAAAACCTTTGGCGTGCCTGTTACTCTCTTTGGAAAACCTATATCCGGCTGCACACCAGCTTGCTTTGGATATGCTTAAACGATTAGGAAATGCCCACGAAGAAATAATCGAGGTCCTCCTCTCGAAGGGCCATATCTTGCCGGCGTTACGGTAAATGTTCTCCCAGAAGTGTTACAAATTATTTGATATCGCTAATACTCTCAAAGAAAATAGTTTGTAGAGGGAACACCTTTAACGGACTCTTGCGTTTCCTATTTCAGATACATTAGATCCGTTGGAATGGTTGATCAAGTCTCCGCCCGAAAATTCTTAGAAGCGGCAAAAGCAACCGAAGATGCAACTTTGTTTCATTCGGTTTTCAAATTCTTTGAACAGCGGAACGTACGGTTACACAATACAACGGCCTTTGCTAAAGGAGAACACTGTCAGCCTTACGTTCAACACTTTAAGTATTTATTCTATGGAACGGACAATGGATGCAATTCGGATACAAATTCTAACGTCACTACGATCTCTTTATGAGGCTTTAGCTTTATTTTGTTGTAACGTGAAATAATAACAAGAACAGCATAAACAACAAACAATAATATATTTTAAATTTATAATGCAGAAGAAGCAGGGGCATTGGCTAGTCGTTTCAGAATCTATTTGCTTCTTCCTCGTGTTGCTATTCGCGGAATACGTTCAAGAAGCATTATTTACAGTTAATTGTATTTGTTTATACAATTTACGGAATTTCATGGTATCGGGAGCGACTAGCTTGATTCATTTGATAACGCATTGATTTGTATTCTTTGCTTCCGTAGACGCGACATGCAGCAATCGTTCCACGATTTGGGTTGTTGCGTAGCCACAGTGATACGTTAATACGAAACACGATACTATACATGTTAACAAATAATGGCACGTCGATACACTTGCGTACGATACGACTACATGTACGCTAGATTAAAATAGGAAGAAACAAGATTTTAATTTTCAGTAATAAAAATATCTTTTTTTTGTTTTTCTAGTTTTTCTTCTACCCTTACTCAACGCATTACGAATTATTCAGCGGGAGAAATGGATTTACGTACGTTCTCGAAATCGATGAAGAGATATGTTATTCTTACAGGGTACAGATAATTACTTTGGTGTTTACAGTTTAGACAAACAGACAGTCACAAAATATTTAGTAAAATTGGTCTGGTGTGTGTATGTATGTGCACGCGTATGCGTATGTATTACATCTCGGCAATCGTAGCTATTTGAATCTTCAGCGACTCGGGATCGAGTTACACGATTATTATTAAGCTCGTACATTCGGATGACTGTTCTTCATTCCTGCATTCAACATCCTGAACTATGGCCCGCGTGGCCTGAAAATAAATGTCTTCATCACAGGGCTGAAACCTTTGACTGAAATATTATTTTTTACAAAAATTACTTGACTTTTAATAATCTTGCTATCGCATACGCGTATCGATATTATTGGTCTAGAAAATGTGAACCTCGATACCAAGTCGTTCGATCGACAAAACTCCGATTCGCTCGATGGGACCAACGAAGTAACGCGTAGAAGAGGACGGACAGGATAATTCGTCGAGACACATTCGGTCCATTTTAAATTTCACGTTTATCAAGATCGAACAAACGATCGTCGATCTACTTTGAAAGCTTACTTAAAGCTGTACGAAACGACGAGAAAAATGAATACTAATCTTTATATTAAATACTTTTCTAATTATGGACTTTGAATTAGTTATTTCTGAAGAGGACTCAGAAAGAGAGGGGTCGGAGGCAAACATTTGTGATACAGTGTAGTCAGATTAGGTCTAAATTGTACTCTATCGCATACATTTTTAAATGGAAATTATTTCTTGCAATGATAATTCGTTTCACACTCTGTATGTACGTCGACGAGCGAATGCAACTCGGCGAACCGATGACAAATCGTTATTCGAATAGGGAAATAAAAGTGAAAAAAAGAGTGTGAAATGTAAGGGAAAAAATGCGAGCGCATATTGGCATGGAACAATCGATTGGTCGAGTATGCGGTTGAACGTGTATAGGTTTGAGTTAGGTAGAGAGATCGACGCATTCGTTGCGTTCCGTTTGCCACAATTCCAGCGACTCGCTTCCGTAGGTAGCTTTGTGTCTCTATTTTGGATTCGATTCGATTGGATTGGATTACTACTCGACTATTGTTTCTAATGAAACGAATTTGAATTTTTTCACATTGGATCGCGGAATTTTTCACGCTTTTATTTGTTGGAAAAGGTGTCGATAATATATCGCGCAATTGCTGAATCATCTCTCGCTTTCGTTTCACTCGTCAAGCACAGAAACATTTTTTACTAGCCCCGTTGCTCTCATACGTTTCGATCTCAACGAATGAATACGGTCACCTAAGTTTCGCTGACAAATACATACATCAACGCCCTTTGCAAGCATGTGCGTGTACAAAAGACGGGTCGAAAAATAGATTTAATTAAATTGTATATGGAATTATAAAAATTGATATGCTGCTCGCTTTGGATCCAGATATTATTATATCAAACTGCAAGGTTCTTTTGTTTTGTACGGTTTGCTGCGTATCTGGTGGTACGACGCCGACGTTGCATTTCAAAACTATTTTGGAGTGCACAGGGAAAGGAAACCTTAGCAGACTTATTTCCAAGTTTCACTTAATACCGAATAAAATTTTTGAAATTTGATGTGAAATGTATAAGAATGAATCTCTATCTGTTAACAGTATGGATGTAAATTATGACGTTAATTTATATATATGTAGGTGTGTATCTCTGTATAACTTTTGGCGAAGTTGATTGTACACAAGCGTCTGGTCGTACAAGGTACCACCTGAAGTGATATCCTTTCGTACGTTGAAAGGTTCCCCATCCCTAAGCTAGCCTAACAACTATGAAACGCAACGTGTTCCAGACAGATTGCCGGTACAGGTACATTTCCCAAAACTATAATTGTCCTTACCTACACGCACTACACGCATACGTATACGAGACGTGTGCATACTTGCCGAAATACAAATATTTTCATGCTTGCAAAAATTTGCACGAGTCGGTCTTGATTGAAATAAATATTTGCGAAAACTGAACGGAACGGGAATTATTCGTTCCGACCATCGTTCGCGCTCAATATCTCATTCCCCTTTTTTTTCGAAGCGAGCTGAGTAAATTCTGTGAAAATTAAAACGGTTCGCTCGTAATACCATACGTAAAGTCTATACGTGAAGCGGTCGAACGATGGCGGAGACCGTCCGGCCAACGAGTCTTTGACGTTTGGTAGAAAGGACTCGAGCAAAATCGCGTCTCTCTCAGAAAAAACAAACGAACATTTTACAAAACGGTGTTTAAGGTGTTCGAGGTGTTTCTACCAAATTTTACGATTCAAACGGAAACAAATTATCACGCCACGTGAACGCACGAAACCTTTGCGAAATCATGTACAAGATGTTTGGCAATACGAAAATAATTGAGATCGTTATTCCTATCGAGGGTTCCCATGTTTATCTTTAAATAATGAAACAATGATAATTTACAGGACGATTCAGAAGCAAAGCGGATATATAGCAATTACGTCTTGTGCGTTCAAGTAACACGGCAACGATGCGTTTCCGCCTCTAGTATTCCCGCTACCACCGTCTCGCGTATAGAGTTTCGGCCGCGCGATCGATCGCGTTGCCATCGAGCCTGTTCGATCTTACCGATTTTATTACCGGCTGTCGACAGACGAAGGATGGGATCGGGAGGAACGATGATTAAATTACGAGATGTTGCAGTCGTCCGTGTGAGCGTCCCTGATTTGCTGCTTCGTTTTCCGCGAAGCGCGTCTGATCAAACTTCGACTGCGCGGTTTGCTCTTCGTCTCCTCTGTAACAGCCACGACGTTCGAACCTTGTGCCGCGACTGTTTGCTGGGAATTCCCACCGTGTCCACCGGCGCTCCCTGTTCTGCCGTGTGGGCTACCAGACCTACCGATTTAATCAACATATTCCAGTGAAAAATCATGGAATGCAAAGGGCTGTGGAGGTACCAGGCAGTCAAATTGCTCCAAAATCAAATCTTTTTCGACCCATTCTTTTATTAAAACAAACATTATTTTCGTTTCTCTTTTTCGCCACAAAGGTGACGTAACTCTTTAATCGAGTGAGCCTCCGGGGAACCGACCGATGCTTTCATTCTCCTTTTATTCTGTGAGGACACAGACCGAACCGATGGAAATTTAGTTTTCGCGCAAATTCCCCGGAAACAGTGGCGCGTCGAGAAGCAATTTAACTCGAAGGAAACACGAATCGATTTTTATACGTAGCAAGTGCGACCGGACATCGAAATTGCGTTCGCGTACGCGATAACTTTTGCATATTAAACTACGTTGTTACACGACACGTTCAAAGGTGTGAAGTAACTGCTTCGTGTTATCGGGAATTCCTTGTTTTTGGTTACAATAGCTCGCAATTAACGGAGTTGCGAAACTCGAAATTGAAATTATCAAATCGAATCGAAAGGATAATTTGAATTGCTGACGGAGAGGCGAGTATGGAGCTACAACTGTCTGGTATCGCGGGATCGGTCCTCGAATAGTCATGGCATTCCTCTAGAGGCAAACAAGGAGTGATCGGTGCGAAAGAGTTGAAATACCTGCGAGATCCGTACGCGGAACATCTTCGTCTAAGGCCCGATTCGTCAGACTCGCCAGCGTTGTTCTTCTGCACGATTCTGGACAGGGCGACGAAACATCTGAAGACGTCTTTGATATTGTAATCGTCCTTGGCGGAACATTCCATCACCTTTGCTCGGAGCTTCGGCAATTTGCAAAATACCCATTCGCTCACGTCCTCGATGGCCACCTCTCGCCGCGTTGGTGCAAGGTCCAGCTTGTTTCCGGCAATTACGATCGGTACTTCCTGTCGAACGGCATCGAGAAAGGATCAGAAACGTTAAGCTTCCGTCGCTACCTTTAACTCACACTTATCCCTCTGCAAAGCCAGATTGCCTAGACAGATCGGTACCTGGAAATCGGGTCGCTGTTCTCTGACTTCTTCGAAGCATTGCTTGACGCATTCGAAGCTTGGTAACGAGGTTGTAGCGTAGACCAGAAGAAACGCGTGCGCCGTGGCTATGCTCAATCTCCTCATAGCTGGAAACTGCAAATCGCCTGAAATCGAAGATGCTTTTATTCGTAGTAAAATTCATAGAATAAAATTCTGTTTGTCTAGGCGCGATGAAAAGTTTGCAGCTTACCAGCGGTATCCAGAAGGTCGACCTTGAGCGTCAGGGTTCCCAGAACGCATTCTCTCGAATAGAGATCCTCGACTGTAGGCCTATATCTCTCGTTGAATCCTTGGCCGAGCAATCGCCGTATGATCGCGCTTTTCCCAACGCCAGCACCGCCCAGCACCACCAATCTGATCCTCTCGAGATCGGCCATGTCTCGACTTGAAACTCGAGAAAAGGGAGCGCGAACACGCCACCACCTCAGGAAGGCATTGGCTGACAGCAGCCGGTTAGCTCGGTGGTCGTCTGAAACCCAGCCACCCCGACCACCCGACCAACCGCCTCTTCTACAAACCTAATATCCTCTTCTTTTATTTCCTCCGTTACCCCCGAGAACTAGCCACACCCTACTCTACTCCGCTTCTGTTTTCTTCTATCTCTGCTCCTTCTGCTACGTTTGCTTCTCTCCTCTGGACTGATCCGACTCGATTCGACGATAATTCGATTTTCCTTCGACTTGCCACCCACGAGGCAAGGACGTTCCGTTTCCGTCCAGCGATCGCGATCGAATCTCTACGACCGCGTCCGAGTTGATGCTCCTTAAGGAAATTTTCGATAGATTAGCGACACCGAGATTACGTTCGGAACAAGAATTAGCTATCGCGATCGATCAATATTACGCTCGATCTTTTTGCTTTCCCTCGGGGAGGTTTTTTTTTTTAACGTGACGCTAGGTTGCTAAAATTTCAAGTGTATAATCGAAAGAATGATAAATCTTTGTGAAAAACGCGCTCGATTCGAGCCGGTGCACGAGACTCGCAAACGCGTTTGCGTGACCAGCAATAAGGAAGCTTCGTTATCCGTCGCGATGAGCGATGACTGCCAGAAGGATTTCGACCATAGTTTCCCAGCAGATATACCTCCGTTACGAAAGGAGACGAAGGAAGATAACAGACTCAGACAATCCGTGGCTTTCGCCGGTGGAGAAATACCTAGGATGAACGAGACAATCGTGAACGATCACGGAATCAAGAATTAGCTTGTTTCCATGAAATACGAGTCGAACGATTAACCCTCTCGCTGCTGCAACCGTTTATCAGAGACGATATTCCTATCCTCCTTTGTTTCTTTTCGGATGGTCTAGCCGGCACGAAAATTGTTTGAAATGTTTCATTTAAATTCACAGATTAATTTGAAGTAATGCTTTCCAAAGGTTTTCTACCGAATTTCCGAATGAAATTGATGGATTTTAACGAGCATCGAAAATCATATCGTTTCTTCGCGGAAGAGCCCTTCAGCGGATCTAGGACGAAACGCCGTAATTATTGGTGTTCGTTAAAACTCATTAATTTCATTTATATCGAGGAAAGCGGGGTAAGATGGGAACGGTATGAAAAGGTTGGTCGAAAATTCTATATACATCGCGATCGTTAAGGATTGAAAAATGGCTTGTAATCGCTTGAGAACGCTGCGAACTGACTAAAACTATTCGAGTCGCGTGCAACTCCACTGTTGTTCCATGTTTTACAGTTTCGAAAAGATGACAGAGTAGCGGAGCAAATGTAGCAATAACTCCTATTTGCTAAAATTTGCCAAAGTTCAGTTCATTTTCGCTCGTGTTAGGCGTGCGTTCTCTCTAAAACGAGTCATCTCTACAGAGTACAATGGAATGGAAGAAAGTAACCAGCGTCTCGCGTTTCCAACAGAGCTGAACGAACCATTCGCGTCGAGAATAGTTTGACGCGTGTTTTGTACGCTGCAACGGGTAGTAGCACTGGGTTCAATTATTTCTTTATCCGTCGACATTGGGATTATATTCGTTTCGCGGGCGACGATACGAGGTTGAAGAGCAAACAAAAGAGACTGCTTTGAAAGCGTCGCAGCGAGCGCTATAATCGATCGAAACGCGTTTCACCTAACACCAGGGAATTAAAGCCGTCTGCGTGGAAACAAGGATCTGGGTCAAGAAATACGAACTTTAACGCGCCGCGGTATCAATTGATAGTAACACCGTGCTGGAGTCGCTTTCGTCGTTTCAATCGAGGCGTCGTCGCTGTCGACGTCGGATGCTGGAACGCTCCTTTTGCGGGACCAATCGGTTCGTCCGTTCAACGTCTACATCGGTGTTCCTAACCGTTGAAAAACGTACAAGCTACTCGCGTCAATGTCGACGAGATACGGAGGTACTCGTTAGAATCTTGTGATTGACTAGCTTCTTTTTTTGACCCTATTTCCGTAGATGTTAGGTCAAAAAATTCGTCGAACAGTGCACAAACCAGAGCTTGATATATGTAAGTAGCTTGTTCTTTAAATGAGAAAGTTGTCTACACGTGTGCAAAATTTGATCGAAATTGTATATCGAGCCGTTATTCAGCCTTGGTAAAGCCAGTGTCTGACCATTACTCGTTACTTGTACTTGCGTTGGATTTTAGCCTGGTAAACCAACGTTCCTGATCACTGTGCATCCGAAACAACCGCGTATCCCGCAGCTGGTCGCTGGAAACAATCTTGCTGCTTATGGAAAACTCTCGCGGGATGTGCAATTTAGGCGGAATTACGTTAAACATTAGCGTGTCCGGTTAAACTCGTTATCGATGCTAAATGTTTTCGCGGTTCGCGGTTGTAGAGTGGTGTGTTTCATTGAACGGGGAATCGCGGTTGCGTGCTCTTATATGTTTTCTCTATCCAGCGATACACGAAACGTAGCAATTTACCTTCTCTGCATATGATTTCGATCCCGATTACGATTTCTCTTCTGGTTTCGAGTTTCACGCAAAGAACTGACGTCTGGAATATCTCCCCGGTCGGAAACGAATTCTATTTCACCTCCAGGCCTAATTCTGCAGTTATTTATACTCTCTGTTTTATATTATTTATTTCGTACGGGCAGCAGGTGAACTTTTCGACATTTCCAACCCACACAGAGGGGTGTATTCGGAATAACAGCAAACGAGAGCAAAAAGCTACAGCTTGTTATCGGACTCTGGTCGGCGTTATCCGCCAGGACGACCGCGTGCGAAGCTAATTAGCGTTTCGGTCGCTGAAGCCGCAAACCGCACATACCAGTACAGGTCGCGATGGCCGTGCTGATCGCGTGTTCGTCGACAGAAACTGCGCGATGTGCGACACGGCCGAACGATACCGCGTTCTATCGTTTTCGGTTCGACCTGCCCCGACAGGGACTGCTTCGGTAAATCGCGGTCCAATTAAAGGCCGCCCGTCGAATAACCGCCGACTTCCACGGCAACACCTGCCGCGTGATGCTACTAATTGGCAAGTGTACGTAATTCTCTTATGACACGAAACTTTCAAAATATACCTTCCATATAATATGGCCTGAAAACTGAGGCAGCTTTACAACTGGTTATTAGATCGTATCGAATGAAATTGCTGATATTTTATCCGTTGGAGCGTTATTAATAAAGTGGGACGTCAATTTACTAGCATTATTTCGTTCGGTTAATATTAAAATGTATCGACAGGATTAATAGCAAAACGGGTAACAAGATTTTATACGCAATTCAAATATGAACAGGAGTGGAACAATTAGGGAGGTATCGAAAACGACGGTTCATTCGAAGAGGACCACAACCGTCTGCTCTGCTCACACGCCTACTCGCTGTCATTTTTATTATTATTCGCAAGCTGCAATTTCAGAGAGAATTTTATACAAAACGGAGGAGCAAACGGTGTTCGCGAACAATCGACGAAATCACCAACGGTATACGGCAGAAAGAAACGGACAAAGACAGCACGGATATTGCTTTTCTAGCTGCCAGTTGAAAAATACTCGTGTGCTCGTAACTCGTAGGCAGCGTTATGAAAGCTCGTAAACCGGAACAATGAAAGACGTCAAGAGGATCGCGTATCGCGTTCAAGATGGACAACGAGAACCCTGGCATGCGCCTACTCGTAATCTAGCGTCCTTTGCTGATTTGATCAGAAAAGAGGTGTCGTTTTATCGACGCAGATCGAAACAGTTTCGCGTGTCCGAACGTAAAAATCATTTATAACGTTTGGGTAGAAATTGTTTCCCATGTCGGGGTATAAGTAGTAGTATTGTTTCGATGTCATACTGTATCGACTGTATTATAATAGTTTGCGGCCCGAATCTGTGTTTGCGAGTTGTTCGCGCGAAAGGAGAAACTTTGCAGACTGGATGCATCGCGTTTTCGTATCATGGACGCAAGAGCAACTCTCGCGGAATCTCACCGATAAACCACCGAAGGCGACCTATCGACTGCTTCGACTCGAAACGATTCGTCTTCTTTCGCTGGTCGAAACGAGTCCTCTCAACTACGAATCACTGGTTCCTCGATCTCTCCTCGAGCGCACTACCGTTGAAATTGCGTTTAAGTCGGATAAGCTGACTTCCATCGTCTTTGTAAAAGCGTGTTCAAAGTTGCACGTCGGTTAGTTTCGGTTCGAAGAAACTCATTGCGTGGAATATACCGTTTACCGTTTGTATCGTCTAGCGGAATGTGCTCGCTATGTACATATGTATACTCTATGTACCACTATCTGGTACCGTCAACGTATGTTGAGATCATTTTCCAAAGTATCCCAAATATTCAAATTAATCCACGCGTGGATTGCGTCGCGTTAATGCTACTCTATGCATATTAAAGAAAAAATTCCCTGATTCTGCCGTGAGATTCATTTAAAGAGGATTCGCTTTTCGCAGAACGTACAATAATATCCGACAGGCTACATGGGGTAGTAAATTGCCGACTCCTAACATAAACAATGCACCCTCGTGAATGGTTGGCTGTCGATGCCTCGTAGTCTCGTGTCGTAGGATTGATTGTGTAGAATAAGCTTGGACGCGTCAAACAAGCCAGGCAACTCGACGTTGCATTGCCTAAAGGATGAAAATATTGTCCCAAAGGATCTTGCCGCGTAGCAGGGAAACTTTGGATGAGATGAGTGCGAGGGACAACGTGCCACTTATCCCAAAACCGTCCAAGGGAAAATTATATTGTATCCTTATACAGCGATGGATCGGAGAGAAAAAAAAAACAATGGAAAAGAAATCTATCTCTCTATCCTTCTTTAACTTGCATTCTTTATTTAAAATTTACCTTCCTTCCTCTTCACTTTGGATAGCTTACCCTTCTTTCACTTATAGCGTATTGAATAATCATGTCGAAGTGATCGGGTGTTGAATAAACAAAAACTTTCGAGTGGTCTCGACGATCCAAATCCGATGGATTTGAATTTAAAGAACAAGCAGCCCGAGTAACAAGTTCGTTCGAGAACTGTTTGGCTACTCTCGGCTGAAATATCATGCATAAATCAGACGCAATGTACAACATTCGATGGAACTTTTTTAAATAATGCATGCGATCGATTATTCGAGAAATTGACAAGATGACCTTGTTAACTTTCCATTAAGTAAAACGAGTAGCTATCGGACATTCTACACAGACAGTTTAGTAGGATACTAAACTATACTACATAGCTTGGTTCGTGGTTAAGGATTGTTGGAGTACAGGGATGACCGTAACTTGGGAATAAGCTCGAATAGGGCAGATGTTTATGCAAACTCTCGCCATTTGTTTTTGTATCTCTCCGAACCACTGCTGAGATGGGTTTCAAATTCTAGAATATACAACATAATATATGTATAATGCTTGAAATTTTGTTGGTAATTCAAGCACATTCGTAGTTCGTTATAAGAAACTAAAGCGGAACGTCTTCGAGGAATTTTAGCTGCGTTAAAACAGTCGTAGAGTACTTACAGCTACGGATCCGTCCGTATAAATCCGTTGTTCGTTTTGTTTGTGAAAAAGTCGTTTGCGAGTGAAGATGATGAATGCGTCCACGCTTACGAATCCTTGGCGTGCCTTCCTACATACGTTACAGCACCGATGCTTCCTTGCAGCGCGTGGGTCGAGCAGTATATGTATATATCTAGACGCAAGAAAAACCGTAAAACAGGATCATAATAGGAAAATTAACAGGGATAAATGCGCGGTGACAATTTCAAGCGCATCGCGTTACTCGGCAGTTCGTGAAAGTAACAAAATTAGACCAATCGCGAGGTTTCTTCCGTATTACGTGCCAGTTTTTCCTGCGCCACAAGGAACTTCGCCGTTGCCTCGTTAATAAGTCGTCAATAATTGAATAAGATAAAAAAAACTTTCTCCCTACAATCTGTCACACTATATATAAGACAAAGTGATTAAGAGGGAGTGAATGTGCTTGCGCAGTGCGCGTGTTCGTAAGGAAGGCTTGGTGGTCGCGCTCATTCTACCCAGATAACGTTTACACAGATTTATCTTGCGACAAGCTTTGCTAAGCTGTTCGTTCGCTTCGTCGACTATACGCTGGTAGATAGATTTCGCTTCGTTACCCTTTCCTGGAGGCGTAGTTTCCTTGTTCGATGAATGAGAAGGATCGCAGGACGATCACTTTAGAAGAAACAATTTTTATCTCGCTTAGATGAAATGAAATTTTGTCGGTAATAAGGGTGGTTTTCCAACGGTAGAAAAATTGAAATTTTTTAGAAATCTGAAGATGTATCGCGATTACGTTAAATGGGACAAAACTCACACAGTAAACCAAACTTTTGTTTTCCATATGAGGAGCGATTGTTCGCGAAACGGTCAGACAAAGGGGGTAAGAGGAATACGGAAGTCCGCGTGAAAAGAAAGAGCCAGTTGTGTTTGATCCGCTCGAGCACGCATCGGGAAATTGAATCTTTCTATAAATAAGAACGAACTTCCGTCGCGCTCACTTGTAAATTATAGCCACACAACGGCCGCCTGACGACACCGATGCTAACTCGTTACTATTTTTCTTTGAGTGAAGGCTTGTGGTAGCTGGACTTGTTCCTCGATTTCTTAGACTCTCGTTGCGCAACTGCGCCTCGACAAACAACATCCGCGAAACGCCTCCTCCCTTACGGAGTTCCGTGGTATTTTATTCGCAGAATACGCGACGAATAAAACTCTGTATAGAGATTTAATCGGATAAGCTTTCATCCATTCAACGAGAAACATTATTTCATTTAAAACGCGAATTGCAATTTTCATTGAACAAATAACGGATCAGAAGTTGTACGTATCTTTTGTTTCGTTTTGTTATTTTTTTATTTAGAACAGAATTTTTCTCATATCTGTCTCTCGATTTTAACGAACCTTTACGAGCTTGTAAAACGACAAGAGATACGGAATTCGTATTTTTCCACAAGTTCGACCCTTAGTGCTGTCTTGAGAAATGCTGGAGATACAAGGATGTTTTTAAAACAAACCGTTATTCTCTATCTTTGTTTTCAAAATTGTTGGGAAGCAATATCGTTTCAACGCGAAATCCTTAGGGTAATTTCAATCTTCGAACGTTTGGTAAGTCTTATCTGATGTTTGGTCAAACCACGGAAGAGGAACCACTCATCTCCTCGCTTCGTTGGCGTTTACACGAAAATTCATCGAAGAGCTAACAACACATGACAGCTAATTTCCGGGAACATTTGGAGTCGATGTCTACTTGAACTCGCTACATACGCGCTGCTCGACTTTGCTTGCTGCACGTACCCTTCGGTGCCACCTCCTTCCCTAAACAAATTTACATGCGCGATCAAGTTCTGCCGTCCCCTTTCTCTCCCTCTCCCATCCTTAATCTTTTGCACTTGGAAACAGAGGTTAAACAACACTTGAAAAAAGTTGGCAACGCTATTGCAAAACTTTGCCACGTATCCGTTTAGAGCGTATCGAATTTTACCCTTTTTAACAGACGAAACTTTCAGCAAACAATTGTAAATCTAACAGAAAAGAAAAGACTTAATTTAAAGACATTGATCGAGAGGAAAATTAAAAAAATGTTACAGCTACGACGATATTAATACCACGAAAGAAAGAAATGTTTAATTTTTTTCTTTTTCTAGAAGATGAAATAGAACTCGCTGCAATAGCGGGTTAGAAAATTTTTACACGTACACGTACCGGTGATGTACGTACATATTTATTGAATCGCCTGGAAGAAGGAAGAGAAGGGAACCCACTGGAATTCAGACTCAATTTACGAGCGCGAAAATTGCTGGAAGCAAATTTGAAATGCGGGATCTTGGACCGTCTAGGCATTCGAACTCGCGATGTTCGATCGTTATGTTCGTCCCTTGACGAGACGCTGCGTTGGATTGCACGACGTCTAACGTTTCTGGCGAACAAGTTTCTTTACAAGAAACGTTATAATACGTTATAATACGTTATTTTTCATTTCTTTCTCTTTGTACAAGACATTTTCAACGATCCTCTTCGAGTACAGGTTTGCATCGCGGTATCGTAAAATCGTAAAATAGTCGAGGTGAAGTTTGACCTGTCGGGAAGCAAGAAAAATTCAATTTAACGGGACAGGAGTCTCTATTTTCCTCCTGCTCGCTAGAGAATGCGCAACGTCAGTTTATATGTATCCACGTTTGCTAGGTTTCGTGCGGGCTAATAGTTCGAACCACTTGTTGAAAGCGAATCTCTCTGAAACGGTAGCATGTATTTCAATCGAATTCTCAATCTCGGTTCTATTTGTAGAGGCTGCCGTTTTTCTGTTCACTCAGTTTCTGCACAAAAGTTGAGCGTTGTTATTGTCGGAATAAAAATACCCTACTTTATTACAACCACGCGAACGACGTCACGGCACGCGTTTGATGGAAGCGAACAAAGACCTTCGTAGAACACCCGTGTATTCCGTTCGCTATTTCATTTCTGCACCGTATGCGAAGCGTTCTCCTTACATATTAACCGTTGAATTACTTTTGGGGTAATTAGTGATCCCTCTCGAATCAAAAATTTATCATATAAATAACAGCGAAACGTAGACTTTCGTTTAAAGTTGCGTAACAAAGGCATAACAATACTTTGTACCATGACGTACACGCACGTTCATCGCATGCATATTTATCTCTTTATCTAGTCAATCTATATAGCTCGCGGCCATATTATCAAAGGGACGCCGTGTTTTTGTGTTACCGGTATTCGTATTTTTTCTCTGCTCTTGACGCTTGTTTATTCTCTATTTTTTTTCTTTATCAAGAGATATTGTACGGGGCATTTCTGGAAACACAGTCAAGGTGTAGTTGATTGCGAAAAAGTTTAGACGGAGCAAAGGGTAAATCTTACAATGGGGGATATCCGTGGATGATATAATTGTTTCCTCGCAACTGGTGCACCGAAAATGCACAGGGCAATACGCGCTTACACTCGCTTTTTTAGATGGAATTATGCAGTTTCTTGTACATAAATCAGGAGCAATCTTTTACAGACTGCATCGTGGATGGTCGCAATTCACGTTTAGATAAAAGAATGACGAAAGTCCAGCTCATCTCTGGCTTGAATAGACCCTTGCATTAGGCGAAGTTGGTCCCTGCTTCCCATGAAAATTCACGAACGTGATAAACTCGAAACGAGGTACCCCAGGGTGCAGAAATTGCGCACTTTTACGAGGAATGTCTCGTTGGTGTCGGCGTCGGCGTCGGCGTCGGAATCGTTAATCCGATCTAGTCAATGTCTAACGGTTTACCCGAGTTTATCACGCGTTATCTACGCAACGGAGCGCCAAACGCGTTTAAAATTGGAGCGTTAAATCGAGGAAGAGCAGGGACGTGTTGCGCGAGAGACTCGCGTAGAATTTCATTCGAATAGGATAGAAAAGTTTTCGTAACGATTCACTCGCAACGTTTGTTCGGTCCGATGGTTAGTTGGATAAACTGGCATTCAATGCGAAACACGAGATGATTATATAATTCCGATGAAATCACGTATCAGAAATTGTATAGCTTTTACTCGATGAATGTTTAGTAAAAAAGGATTTATTTTTTGCTGTTATTGCGAAGTGTGCCCATCTCTGTTTAAAAGGTATTCTTTAAAAGGATCGAACAGTTTGAAAATCAACTCACGCGGATTTCCTGGGAATCGACGACCGTAATTCCCGTATCACGCGACGGTCAGGTATTCGTCGTTCCGACGTTCGGCGTCGAGCTTTTATTCGCACGCAACACGAGGGAAACCGAAATACCGTGCAGGAGAGCTCGATAGCGCAATCTCGCTCGAACCAGCTACCCTTGCCGCGCAACAAAATAATGTATACGTATGCCAGCAGCTAGCTCTAGTTACCTGCGACGTCACCGCCGCTGCCGCCGCCGCCACCGCCACCGATTTCTACAAAGGAGTCTAACGAACCTCCGCTCAAATTGCATCGAACGTTCAGCCAGCACGCGAAACCGAGAAACGCGAAACGCAGCCGCGTCCTAAATTACTCGCTACTGCAGTATCCTTTGCCACGCGCACCGCGCGAGTACCTTTATCGCGTGGAAACTTAACGCAACGCGAGAAATCCCATATATAACTTTCTTTTCGTATCTACAATTTTAGCATTTACAAAGTCGAAACTGTGTTTACAGTTTACGCAGTGCAAACCGGTAAAAGAACGAAACTTTCCTTTCCTGTCTCTTTCGAGCTTTTGTAAACGCGAAGGTAGATCAAACGTTTCGTTCGGCTCGCAAAAACCGGATAATTGAATTCTACCTTTAACGAAATTTCCCCGAACCGAGCGACACGCACAATAAATTCTTCCTCCATAAAACTTTATTTGAATTTCGCGTTCCCTGGTAAATTGAAAATATAACTCCGTGGACTTGTTTGTTAAAATTAATACAACGCGTTTCAACGAAAGGTTATCGATTGTTTTCGTTCGATACTGTGATCATTGTCATTTAACGAGTTTCAACGAGTAAATCGTGTTTGCGAAGAGGAAAGTCGCGACAGATCGTGTCGCATGTACGCAGAATAATTGATGAGTCCTCTCGGGTTCCTCCCAGCGGAGAAACCGCAAAATAATTACTCGTATTTTGACAAGCGGGTCGCGTTTTTATCTAGCCCGCATTTTTCATGGGACCCCCTGGCAAGCAGATCCGCCGAGTGTCGTAAACGTCTCCCCCGTCGTACAACCGA